TTATCATTTTCAAATTAAAAAAAAAACTTGATCTAGTCATGAGACACTAAAGACTAATTAGGGCATTGTCCTTTTTGACTCTGTTAGAACAAAATGTTGCTTATGATGAGGTTTGTTTTCACTGATGATAAATGGAGTAAGAAAAAACTTAAGTGTCTTTTTCACATTCTTCTTTATCCATCAAATACTTTTCCATTAAAATAAAAAGAATTTTTATTTATAAATTTCTTAAAAGTTGAGAATGTGCATTTTTTTTCTTAAGGATTTATTTACTAAAAGTTACCAAATGGTCCCAGCTAATTTATAGAAGGTTAATATCACAGGATAAGTGCCAATCATTTTTCCCAGGCACTATTCATTTCCATAGATCCAAAGTCAAAAAGTGATTGTATGAAAACTAATTTGGGTAAAGTGTTGACTTTTCAAAGGTTGACAGTCCCTCCCAATCAAGACATATTCTTGAGTGCCTTGTATAGAGCAAACATTGTTAAGCTACTTAGGCTTCAGTGGTGGTCAATATTAGTAAAGAAAAAGACAAAAAACTCAAGCAGAAATTTTGAGTTGCATAAAACTTGTCTTTTGTGGAGACAGACATTTCTTACCTTGGAATGATGACTGTACTTGCTGTGGTAGTAACTACAATATTTGAAAATCTGACCCCAAATCAAGTTCTCCATCAAAAATATGAGGCACATATGTGTTCTTTTACACACTCCTTCTCTTTCTTCATCCCTTCCTTTTTCTCTTCTGCCCTCCCTCCCTCCCTTCTTTACTTCTTTTTATTCTTGCAATCAGAATGTACAAAACCTCTTCTTCCAGAATGATACTCTTATTTTTATTTGTTGTTTGCAAAGGGACTGAACATAAACCTTGAAGATATAGTTCATGTCAGTAGAAATACTAACAGTTATAGTTTTCCTTAAACCAACCCCAATGATCCATACTTTCGATATGTGAATGAAAGTAAAAATCTATCCTCAACTCAGTGGGAAAATCCCAGGCCCACATCTTTGTAGTGTACAGATTGTACTGAAGACAGGAGTAGCCAATACTCACCACCATGTATACAAGTTTCAGACTTCAGAGCAGTTACTTTCTTCTTCAATACAACTTGAAAAAAAGTAGAAAGAAAGGGAAAGGATTCAGGAAAGATATGATTTTGAGTTATTGTGTCAGGCTAAAAAAATAATCAGGTATTCTTCAAAGCAAATAAAGACATAATGGGTTCAGCCAGATATGGATTTTGATAAATAACTTAATAATTAAAACTATATCTGATATCTCATGTTCACATTCTGTAAAAAACTGAATTTTTCCTGTCTTTTGGGTAATGAGTTACCATCAAGTATTGGTTATTTATATCACAAAACATGGAAATTCACTCTTTCTTGACATATTTGTTTTTCTCTTTTCTCCTTGAGCACTATCGCTGATTCATCATGCTAGGGTTTTATTGTTTGTGTTATAAAAGCTATGTCAAGCTCTGACTGAAGAGCTAATTTTTGTCTTGAGTTAATGCTATTTCTTTTTTTTTTTTTTCTGTACTGACCTGGAAACAGATTTTTAAAATTTATAATCAAAAGTAAACTATACCTTGTGTTCAAACAACATGTTAACTTTTATTTATAATATTTTATGACCATGTTTTATGTATGTTAATAATATTGATATTATTCACTGCTAAAAAATATTTTTTTAGAGATAATGTAAAATAATTAAAAGTGGAGTCTGCAAACATGAGGAAATCTGCCCAATTAGCATCATTTTTGTTTGGACTCTTAAACCTGTTGTTCACTGAAAGTCAGAATGATAGATAGCCACAGCCATGGGCAAAACCAGATGCTGTATAGTAGATATGAAGACTGTTACATAATTTTCTTAAAACTGATGAAATTTATTTCACATTTTGCATTATAATTTTGGAAATTATAAGAAGTCTAAACAAATATGTTTCTCATTAGGGATTGATTCCTGGTAAAAGATTAACAACCTATCCTTTAGGTGAAAAATAAGAAAATATAATCAATTACATTGTTTGTTCTACCAATTTCGTTTTTCTCTTTTACTTCCATTCAGATACAATTTTGAAAGTGATAAATCAATTCTTACTCTCTTATTTTTATGATTTCCTCTTAAGTGATGAAGCATAGTCTTCTCAAAATTCAGAATAGTTAGTACGATTTTCTTCCCAGAGAATGGGGAATAAAGTGGAAGTAGTTTTGAATGTTATTTGCTGGTTGTTACTCAGTTTATGGTCTTCTTTCAGAAAATGCTGGAAAAGTGAATCAGTGGTAAACCTCTAAAGGCTACTAGCCTTTTCTTAGCCCTTGAAACTATCCCCTTTATCAGTACCTCTGAATGCAAAGTGGAATTCATTAACAAAGTTGTCTGTATACAACAGTCTTCATGTCGTATTAAAACCCTTTCTTGGGCTTTTGTCATGCATTGATAATTTTGAAAACAACCACAAAATTAGATTTACACTTTTAGAACTAGAAAACTCCTTTGTCTATTTTTAGGTTAAGGAAACAGAGGAAGATTATGACGACACTGATTTTCAAAAACTTAAGTTGGCTCCACTGAAATTAATTGTAATCCAAAAGACCATCAGATATTCAGGCTGCCTTTCATTCCTCTGAGATGAAACACTGAGAGCTCCCAGCACTGCCAGAGTCAGACTTGCTTCGGTGATAAATCAGCTGTAGAAATGACATGTCAAAGCTAGAGGGGCGGTGGTAGTTTTTGAGTCCCAGACTCAGTACATTTAATGAAAGATCAACGGCCAACCCCACTTGGTTTTTCAAAATCAGGTATTGGGTATTTGCAGTTGAATGATTTTGGAACTGCTTGGTTTCTTCTCTTCTTACTTCACTGTTAATTCTACTTATACCCAAATAAGCATAGACTGATATGACTTAATTATATAAGTTTTCTCATCCAATGAAAGTCTTGCCAATAGATAGTGGTTCTGAAAATGTGGACTTTGCATCACTTACTTCAATTTAAAAGGCACATACTGAAGGGAGCACTGGGTATTACACGCAAACAATGAATCATGGAACACTACATCAAAAACTAATGCTGTAATGTATGGTGATTAACAGAACATAATAAAATAAAAAATATATAATAAAATAAAATAAATAAAAGGGATACATAAAAAAATGCTAACAAAATGATTAAGATCAACCCATGCATTTGCCTCAGTGTTGGTAATTTAGAGTAACTGGTCTTGAATTACCTAAGAGTGCACTTACCACAAGTGTGGACTCAATAGTGCGTATGCCAGCACCCTTCACACATGACAACACAATAGGTTGTGATCAGTTTTTATGCCATTAAAAGTAAGAGAGGATTTCCACAGAAAATCTGGAAAATATTGAAGGGGGTAAGAGGAAATTAAAAGCTACTAAAAATACAGAGTAATGTCTGTTAACCTTTAAAAAATAGTTTTTCAGTCTTTTTTTTTTTCGGGGTGTGTGTGTATCTGAAGAGTTTGAAAAAACAGTTATTTTTATTACAAAGTTTTTATTCTCTTTTACTTACTATTATGTCTTGAAAATTTCTGTCTTAAATATGCTTCAAAATTATGATTTTAATGACTGTATTATATTCTATTTTATGGAGGTCCATAATTTATTTAGCTATTCTCATATTTTCAGATGTTTAGTTTATTTCTGATTTTTTTTTTGCCTTTTTATGATTATTTTCCATGTTTAAAATATCTTCTTTGATTATTTGCATAAGGTTTCAAGAAGGGGATAATTGGTGGAAAGAGTATGGGACTTTTTAAAGACTTTGATTTATGAGTCCAGTCTATCCTTCAAAAAGTTGCACCTATTTATACTCATGCTAACGGATTTAGACATTGCCACAGTGTTTTATCCAGTCATATACATGTCATATTTTTAATTTGGAAAATATCGTTTCTCTGTTTTAATATCCATTCCTTTGCATATCTTAGAATGTATTTATTAGCGATTTGTGTTCCTTTTGGGTGTGTGACTTGTCTGCTCATGTCTTTTGCTCATTTTGTATTAAGATTTTTCTAATTCATTTTTGCGGGTTCTTTATGTATTGAAGATGTTAATCTTTTTGTGTTAAATTTGTTCCTCATATGCCACTTGATTTTTAATTCAATTTGTGATATTCTCCTTTGCTTGTATGTTGAAAAAATAATTTTCCATCTAGACATTAGTTAAATATCCAACTGTAATTCATTCTAACTTTCTTTGATTTAATTTCTTTTGCATTTAACTCAACTTGAACCAGAAATTATTTTGGTGTAAGGTGTAAAATCCTAATTTATTCCCCTCACTCCCACCAAAAATAACCAATATCCTCAACAGCATTTATTAATTTTTTTCACTAGTTTGGGAGGCTTTATCATATATATATGTATTTTTTTTTCTTCCAAAAAATATAGTCTGTTCCAGAGCAACTTACTCTGTTTCATTATCTATTGATTCTTGTACTGCAACATGTTATAATGACTTTTAAAGTACATTGTAACATATGATAAGGCAGGTTTTGTTGCCCCATTACTTTCCTCCCTAATTTTTAGTTAATCACACTTATTTGTCTTTCAGATAGACTTGAGAATTATTTTCCATGTTTAAAAAAGTGCCAATGGGACAGTGATTGAGATTGTTTTAATCTTTACAGAATATTAATTTAATAAGACTTGATATCTCACTATTCTAGAACATGATCTGTATTTCTACTTACTTAAATTTTCCTTCATGGCTGTCAACTTGTATGTCTACATATTTTAAAATTAATATTGTGAATTAATTTTTTTCAGTACAAGTTGCTCATACAATATAAGGAAAAGCTTTTGCTTTTTTTAAATTGATCTAATCTGTAGATATTTTACATAAACTCAATATTTTAAATTGGTTTTTAGTCAGTTTCTTAAACCACTGCATAGAATAGACACGTGGCTGTGCAGCATGTGTTTTTTGTTTTTTTTTTAAAGATTTTATTTATTTATTTGACAGGGAAATAGAGAGAGAGCACAAATAGGCAGAGCAGCAGGCAGAGGGAGAGGGAGAAGCAGGCTCCCCACTGAGCAGGGAGCCGGACGTGGCGCTCGATCCCAGGACCCCAGGATCATGACCTGAGCCGAAGGTAGCCGCTTAACTGACTGAGCCACCCAGGCGCCCCACAGCATGTGTTTTTTAGGTAAATATTGACATTGCCTTTAAATTTAAGTATAAATGTCATTATATCTCTTATTTCTTTTTCACTTCATGTCATTGAACAGAACTTCCAGGAAAATGTTGATGAATAATGACATTCCTGAATCTAATGGTAATACCTGCTCTATTTTACCATCAACTACGATGTCAGCATGTTGGTTTAAGATAGAATTTTTTTATTACTTCAAGAAAATATTTAATTCATGTTTTTTGGAGCCTTTGATTTTATTAGGAATTGGCATTGGAAATTTTACATAACATCTTTTTGGAAAAATGAAGTTGGATTATAATTAGTAAACCTAACATAAAAACCATCTGTCAAAAGAGAAACGTCTACAGGGTCCCACTGAAGTATCACAGAGCAGGACAAAGAAGAGTGGAATTATAGCTAATAGGCAGAAAGTTGTAACTGTTTCAGTCCACCAAGTTCACTCCTTAGCATCATGTGCATATCTCTACACATATTTGAACTTCCACACAACACACTCTACATTTCCACCTTACACGATGCAGCCATCCATCATATAAGAGAAGATGTTTTCCCCCCTTTTCAGAATGAAGAGTCACATCATCCCAACAGGAACTGTGCTAATCAATGGCTATACCAATTACTTCATAATTTCAGTCCCAGTCTCACCAAATATTTTGTTACCTAAAGACTAAATTATAAAATTTTTTCCCAATAAACTTGTATAAATAATAAGAGGAAGGAGATAGAAGAAGAAAGTAGTTATTACATATAAATAAATAGATATATATAACAAAAATAAAATATGCAAAATATTATATATGTTGAAGTATTTAGGAGTGAGATAAATTGATGTTTGTGACTATTTTTTAAATGATTCAACTAAAAATATATATTTGAAGCAAAATGGAAAAGTATTATCAATTGCTGAATGTAGGTAGTAGCTATATGATTTTTAAATTATATTTCTCTGTTTTTTATGTATGTTTGAGACTTTCATCACAAACTTTAAAATTTGTAGTTATAGTAAAAATTGTTATTATTATTATTTTTTAGAGAAAGAGCATGTGTGCGGGGGGTGGGGGTGGTAGGGGCAGAAGGAGAAGGAGAGAGAGAATCCCAAGCAGGCTCCATGCCCAGTGTGGCCCTTGATGCAGGGCTCGATCTCATGAACCTGAGATCATGACCTGAGCTGAAATCAAGAGTCAGATGCTTAACTGATTGAGCCACCCAGGTGCCCTTAAATTGTTATTATTCATTGATATATTTTTCCTTTTTTCTAATATCTTGATGCATGCTTTCTGTTTTTCATGTTCTTTTGTTTCCTTTATATGCTCTCTTTTGCATTGTGTAATATGTTTTATCTTTTGTCTTATCTGGTAGCTCATGAAATTTATATCCAATGTTATCTTTTTAGTATTTTAAAATACTTTATTTAGTATAAAATCATCAATTACCAAAATCAAGAATGTAGAGGTGCCACTTAGCTGAACCACTGCAGGGAATAGACATGTGGCTGGGCTGTGCCAGCAGTGGGGATGAGGGTAAGAGCCTGACTTCTCTAAGTACTGAAGTTCCTACTTAACCTCTCCTTTCATTGCATGCTCATTGCATTTAAATATATGTTAGTGCACTTACCATTGGTTAGAAATAACAATTTCAATAAGACCCCACTTATTTCCTTTATAGAATTCATGTCACCCTCCTAACCCTAAGTCCACTTTCTTCTTGAGGCTCCCTGAATATTTCACATCTAGTGTTAGAGTCTACTGTAGATTTCCTGCGGTAATGGCCATTATTACTGCTCCCAGTTTGTGAAAATATTAACCTATACCACACTTACCAATTTTGAGGTGTTCTTAATGATGAGGAAGTATTTATTTCCAGCCAGTGTTATTACTTATTAAACTTTTCCAATGTACTTGTGTATTTCAGTTTTTATATTCCTTTTCCTTGAAGAAATTGAGACAAATTCTCAATTTGTAGACCTATAAAATACTAATAGAGAACTCATAGTACTTGTCCTAATCAACTATGAACCAGAGGCCCAGGTACATTCACTTTCTCCTGGCTCATGGACAGTTATCAATTACCCTCCTCCTCAAGAGGCTGGGAAACACCATTTCTTGTTTTTTTTGTGTGTGTGTGTTTTAACTTTAGTTACCTAGGCTTGACTCCCAGTCCCAAGGGTTTCTTTCTTTCTTTCTTTCTTTCTTTCTTTCTTTCTTTCTTTCTTTCTTTCTTTCTTTCTTTCTTTCTTTCTTTCTTTCTTTCTTTCTTTCTTCTTCCTTTCTTCCTTCCTTCCTTCCTTCCTTCCTTCCTTCCTTCCTTTCTTTCTTTCTTCTTTCTTTCTTTCTTTCTTCCTTCCTTCCTTCCTTCCTTCCTTTCTTTTTCTTTCTTTCTCTCTCTTTCTTTCTTTCTCTCTCTCTCTTTCTTTCTTTCTTTCTTTCTTTCTTTCTTTCTTTCTTTCTTTCTTTCTTTCTTTCTTTCGAGAGAGGGAGAGAGGAGAGAGGAGGGGCAGAGGGAGAGGGAGAGAGAGAATCTTAAGCAGGCTCCACACCCAGTGCATAGCTTGATGCAGGGCTTGATCTTACAATCCTGAGATCATGACCTGAGCCAAAATCAAGAGTTAGATGCTTAACTGACTGAGCCACCCAGGTGCCCCCCCCCCAAAGACTTCTTTACTCTTTCTTTCACGAGATCTGATGTGTTCTAGTGTAAATAGTAGCCTAAATCCTTGCCATGACATTTTGTCACTTCCAAAACGTCACTCAGGTTTAGATTGCCCTCACTCAGATTGGATTAGGTTGGTTCACTGCCTAACCTTACTCCCTCTTCCACCTGCCAAATTATCTCTTACTTCATGTGGATGACATTACTAAAGGGTAAGAAGACAGCTCACAGAGAATATTCTTACCAATTTTACTGAGGAGTTGGATGGTTAACAAAAATACCCTCTGCATATTTATCTCAAACTTCTATTAAGATAGGAGATTCACTTTCGTAACTTTTCTCACCTTTTAAAAATCCTTTTCTTTCTTTCTTTCTTTCTTTCTTTCTTTCTTTCTTTCTTTCTTTCTTTCTTTCTTTCTTTCTTTCTTTCTTTCTTTCTTCTCTCTCTCTCTCTCTCTCTCTCTCTCTCTCTCTCTCTCTCTCTCTTTCTTTCTTTCTTTCTTTCTTTCTTTCTTTCTTTCTTTCTTTCTTTCTTTCTTTCTTTCTTTCTTTCTTTCTTTCTTTCTTTTCTTTCTTAATTCTTATGTTAATCCCCTTACATTACAACATTAGTTTTAGATGAAGTGTTCCATGATTCATTGTTTGTGCACAACACCCAGTGCTCCATGCAGAATGTGCCCTCCTAAATACCCACCACCAGGCTAACCCATCCTCCCACCCCCCTCCCCTCTAGAACCCTGTTTGTTTTTCAGAGTCCATCGTCTCTCATGGTTCGTCTGCCCCTCCGATTTCCCCCGCTTCATTCTTCCCCTCCCGCTACCTTCTTCTTCTTCTTCTTCTTTTTTTTTTTTTCTTAACATATATTGCATTATTTGTTTCAGAGGTACAGATCTGAGATTCAACAGTCTTGCACAATTCACAGCGTTCACCAGAGCACATACACTCCCCAGTGTCCATCACCCAGTCCCCCCATCCCTCCCACCCCACCCCCCACTCCAACAACACTCAGTTTGTTTCCTGCGATTAAGAATTCCTCATATCAGTGAGATCATATGATACATGTCTTTCTCTGTTTGACTTATTTCACTCAACATAATACCCTCCAGTTCCATCCACGTCGTTGCAAATGGCAAGATCTCATTCCTTTTGATGGCTGCATAATATTCCATTGTATATATATACCACATCTTCTTTATCCATTCATCTGTCGATGGACATCTTGGCTCTTTCCACAGTTTGGCTATTGTGGACATTGCTGCTATAAACATCGGGGTGCACGTACCCCTTCGGATCCCTACTTTTGTATCTTTGGGGTAAATACCCAGTAGTGCAATTGCTGGATCATATGGTAGCTCTATTTTCAACTTTTTGAGGAACCTCCATACAGTTTTCCAGAGTGGCTGCACCAGCTTGCATTCCCACCAACAGTGTAGGAAGGTTCCCCTTTCTCCGCATCCCCGCCAACATCTGTCGTTTCCTGACTTGTTAATTTTAGCCATTCTGACTGGTGTGAGGTGATATCTCATTGAGGTTTTGATTTGGATTTCCCTGATGCCGAGCGATATTGAGCACTTTTTCATGTGTCTGTTGGCCATTTGGATGTCTTCTTTGGAAAAATGTCTGTTCATGTCTTCTGCCCATTTCTTAATTGGATTCTTTGTTCTTTGGGTGTTGAGTTTGATGAGTTCTTTATAGATTTTGGATACTAGCCCTTTATCTGATATGTCATTTGCAAATATCTTCTCCCATTCTGTCGGTTGTCTTTTGGTTTTGTTAACTGTTTCCTTTGCTTTGCAAAAGCTTTTTATCTTGATGAAGTCCCAATAGTTCATTTTTGCCCTTGCTTCCCTTGCCTTTGGCGATGTTTCTAGGAAGAAGTTGCTTCGGCTGAGGTCAAAGAGGTTGTTGCCTGTGTTCTCCTTTAGAATTTTGATGGACTCCTGTCTCACATTGAGGTCATTCAACCATTTGGAGTCTATTTTTGTGTGTGGTGTAAGGAAGTGGTCCAGTTTCATTCTTCTGCATGTGGCTATCCAATTTTCCCAACACCATTTGTTGAAGAGACTGTCTTTGTTCCATTGGACATTCTTTCCTGCTTTGTCGAAGATTAGTTGACCATAGAGTTGAGGGTCCATTTCTGGGCTCTCTATTCTGTTCCATTGATCTATGTGTCTGTTTTTGTGCCAGTACCATGCTGTCTTGATGATGACAGCTTTGTAATAGAGCTTGAAGTCCGGAATTGTGATGCCACCGGCTTTGCTTTTCTTTTTCAATATTCCTCTGGCTATGCGGGGTCTTTTCTGGTTCCATACAAATTTTAGGATTATTTGTTCCATTTCTTT